TATGTAATTTCATATTATTTTATATAATTTTTTAATTCTGAATTTTACTACTTTCTTGTTTGAGACAGAGTCTCTGCAGCCTGGCTATCCTGGTATTCACTATGAGGCCCAAGCTGGACTTATACTCACAACAATCCTCCTGCATCAGCTTCCCAAGTATTGATATTTACAGGTGCATATCACCACATCTGACTTTCTACTCTATTTTTTCTGCATTGCTTTATTGCTATTATCTGGGCCGGGCGTGGTAGCGCCTTTAATCCCAGCACTCAGGAGGCAGAGGCAGTTGGATCTCTGTGAATTCAAGGCCAGCCTGGTCTATGTAGTGAGTTCCATACCAGCTGGGGCTACAAGGAGACCCTGTCTCAAAAAGAAAAAAAAAAAAAAAAAAGCAATTATCTGGGAGCTGGAACATTAGTTCAGATGTAGGGTACTTGCTGACATGTACAAGCCTTGAGTTCAATCCCTTAGCCTAAACACATGAAAAAAAAAAATTGGCTAGGAATTCAACTGTCTTTTCAAGGTGTGTTCTACAGTTTTAATTGCTGTTATATCTAGATTTTTCATATCTTTTTACTTATTTGTGAGTTATGCATCCTAAATCCTAGGTTGCTGTTTTTTCTCAGCTGTGGGAAGTTTTCAACCTTCATGTTTTTATGAATTGGCCATGCCCCATTCTCTTTTCCTATAGAATTCTTTTAAATATTTTTGTTATTTTTGTGTGTGTATGAATGTATTTCCTGCATGTATGTAAGTGCACCTGTGTCTTGCAGTGTCCACGGAGGTCAGAAGAGGGTGTTGGATCCCCTGGAACTGGAGTTACAAGTGGTGGTTAGCTGCCATGTGGGTACTGGGAACTGAACCCAGGTCCTCCGCAAGAGCAGCCAGTGCTTATAACCACTGAACCATCTCTCTAGTCTCTTCTGTTTATTTATTAATTCAATTTTTTTATGTGGATGAGTGTATTGCCTTGCATATTTGTATGTATACCTGTGTTGTGCAGTGCCTGTGAAGGTCAGAAAAGGGCATCAGATCCCTTGGAACTGGAGTTAAGGATGGTTGTTAGCCACCATGTGGGTACTGAGAACCAAACCTAGGTCCTCTGAAAGAGCAGCCAGTCCTCTTAACACTGAACCCTCTCTCTAGCCCTACCAGCCCCTTCTTGTAGAATTCTGATTGATGTTTCATTAGATTTCTCTTGGGTCTTCATTTTTTTTTGAAACTTTTCCTTTTATGTCATAAAGACAGTAAAGGCAATAAATAAAATAAAAAGCAATAAATGCTTTAAAACCTTTTTAAAAAATTATGTGTATGAGTGTTTTGCCTACATGTATGTGAGTGTACCATGTGCATGCAGTGTCCACAAAGGTCAGAAATGAATGTCAAATCTCCTGAACTGGAGTTACAGACAATTGTTAGCCAACATGTGGGTGCTGGGAACTGTACCCAGGTCCTCTGCAAGAGAAGCCAGTTCTCTTAACTGCTGAGCCATCTCTCTAGCCCCCTTCATTGCCTGGAACTCACTGTGTAGAACAGGCTGGCCTTGAACTCACAAAGATCTACCTGCCTCTGCCTCCTGAGTACTGGGATTAAAGACATGTACCACCACGCCTGGCCCCTTCATTGCTTTTTTTAAAAAAAATATTTTATGTGTATGTGTGCATGTAGGTTAAGTGCACCCATGTTGTGCAGTGTCCACGGAGGACAGAAGTGCACCCATGTTGTGCAATGTCCACGGAGGACAGAAGAGACTGTCAGAGCCGCTGGAACTGGAGTTACAGTTATTAGCTGCCATGTGGGTGCTGGGATTCGAACCCAGGTCTTCTGCAAGAACAGTGTTTTTAACCATCTCTCTAGCTCCCCACTGATGTTTAAATAGTTTAATTTTTTTTCAGTTTTCTTCATGAAGTTTGCTCTTATTTCGTTTATTTTTTAATTATTCTTTTCTTTTTTTCTTTCTTTTACAAACCCTTGTGTCAAGGGCTGACTTTCAATAGATTGCAGCGAGGGAGCTGTTCTGCTACTTACAAAACCCTGACCCAGAAGCAGATCGTCTATGAATGGTTTAGCGCCAGGTTCCACATGAACTTGCGTTACTTGACAGATGAGAGGGTGGCCCCCTTTCTGGCCTCACCCCATTTCCCAGACAAAGGACTCTCCACCTTGGACCCTGGTCCTAACACTTGATGCTACAGGCTGCTAGGGGGGGACAGATAGACTATCAGAGGCAACCAAGGCTTCTTCCACACTACCTGGATGGAATTCTGATTTAGAGGTGTTAAGTCATAATCCCACAGATGGTAGTTTCACCCCATTGGCGTCTCAGCCAACCATATACACCAAATGTCTTATTAATTGTAAAGTAGAATTTCATATCAGTTAATTTCTCTTTTTTTTTTGGTCTTTTTTGAGACATGGTCTCCCAGTAGCCCCAGCTGGCCTGGAACTCACTATGTAGACCAGGCTGGCCTTGAACTCACAGAGACCTGCCTGCCTCTGCCTCCGAGTACTGGGATTAAAGGCGTGTGCCACCACACCCGGCTATGCCTGGCTAATTTCTATCTTTTATAACAGCTTTAAGCTGACTTTCTTAGTATGTTAATAGTTTTAAGTTAGCAAATCGTTTGTCTTCTGCTATAAGTTTTCTGTAAATAATTTCAGTTTTTTTTTTTGTTTGTTTTTGTTTTTTGGTCTTTTTGAGACAGGGTCTCCCTGTAGCCCCAGCTGTCCTGGTACTCACTATGTAGACCAGGCTGGCCTTGACCTCACAGAGATCTGCCTGCCTCTGCCTCCCCAGTACCAGGATTAAAGGTGTGTACCACCACACCCTGCCAGAATGATTTTAAAACAGTTTTTTAGAATAGAAACTAAGCCCATTGTATCTTCTGTAAGGACTTAGAAATTTGGAATAATAGAATTTTCAAAATTGTCCATTAAAATACCAATCTCTGCCTGGTGTGGTGGTGCGGGCCTTTAATTCCAGCTCTTTGGCGGCAGAGAGGCAGGGGGATTTCTGTGAGGTCCAAACAGCCTGGTCTGCATAGCAAGTTCCAGGTCAACTAGGGCTATAGGGAGACCCTATCTCCAAAAACAAACAAAAAATAATAATACCAGTCTCTGCTGAACAAGATACTTTAAAATTAGCAATTGATTAAAACAAAGTAAAATTTTTTTCCCTTTTCTTTTTGCTGATATATAGCCAGAGTCCCCTGAATATAAAGCTGCTTGCAAACTGTGGGATTTGTACCTTCGAACAAGAAATGAGTTTGTTCAGAAAGGAGAAGCAGATGATGAAGATGATGATGAAGATGGGCAAGACAATCAAGGCACGGTGACTGAAGGAGTAAGTATCCAGAATGAAGCAGCACAGAAGCTGTGGGAGGGTGGATGGAGTCCTGCTTGGATCCCTAGGCTATTGTGGGAAGCTCTTGTACTGCTAACTAGGAGAGTAAGTGAACCTTTAGCTCAAGAACCTCACTCTAATTTCAAGTAATCTTGGATATCCTGACAATGTGTACCAGGCATGGTTGTTTTCATGAAAGTTGCTTTTATTTTAGTGCATGTTTTCTGATGGATTTAAAAATCTTTATATTATCAAGGGCTGGTACAATATTGCTAGATTGAAATGATGTGTGAGGTAAGCAGCGTTGTGATTAAAATTTGTAGTCAGTTAAATTAGGAATTTTTTTAAGCTTGAGGATAGTTTTATTGGTCTTTGAGAAAACAGCAAGAAAGGCAAGCTAAAAACTTTGGCAGTGTCAGGAGGAGCTAGATGGAGAAGAAAGAAAGCTGTGTCTTGCAGTTGAGGTTGATAAGCAGCTGCATGGCAGAAGGGGAATGGGACTTTGGAGAAGGTTTTTGGCTAGTACCTGACAGAAAAAGATAGAAGAAAAGTAAAGATTGAAGAAAAAGTAGAGCTGCCAGGTACTTTATCCAATTCTTTGAAGGAATTAGGCTTAATAGAGCTTCCAGGAGGGATGCACTCTATAAGCAGGTATCAGAAATACTCTACTGCTCCTCTCACATGCCAGATGTGTACCTGCTTCTGGAGTTTTGCAGTTGTTCTTACCTCTGTTTAAAATGTGTCTCCATCAGCTCTTCCTGTGACTCTGACTATTCCAACATCTGTGAAAATAGTTTGAACTAAGAAAGGACTTTCTTGACTCCCTTATTGACTTGCTTTACTCCCTCCTCTTCACCCTTAAGTGCCTCATCACATCTTTCTCTTCTGTTGCCTTCATTGTTGTCACTGTCAAGCTCTTGGTTGACATGCTTACTTTCTGTCTTCCTGCAAGTGCAGTAGTAATAGCTCCTTAAGGTCATCTCCATATTGACATACTCCTGGCATCCATGCCTGACCTGTAGGCACTGATACACATTTGCATAGTGAAAACATGTTTGGACAGAGAAAAAACAGTAGGAGGAATCATAACCGTGTTTTGCATCTAGATTATTAAAAACACAGTGAAGTTCCGCCTCTTTCCATAAGTTACTTAGATAGGCATTTAGTTGGGACTCCAAAACACAGAGAAGCAGCTCTGGTTAAGTTTCTCAAAACTGTTTCTTAGTCTCAAAGTATAGTTGCCAGGTACTTTGTTGATTTCTTTGAAGGAATTAGGTAGGAGGCAATGGACAGTCTTGGTTCTCTGGAATTTTACTGTTTGATAAGAATACAGGAGAAGTAATTTAGCAGGATGTTGCCTGCTGAGGCACCAACCTTACTATAGCTCTAGTCAGAAAATAAAAATGCCTACATGTACGAATTGCCTGTTTTTAATTATTTTTTATTTATTGACAGTTTCATACATGTAAATAATGAATTTTGGTCTCTTTCAACTCCCCATTATACTCTCTCCCCCTCACCTACTGAAACCCTTCTTCCCAGCAAGGACTTACTTACCTGTCTTTATGCCTTTATTCTTATTTACATAATTGATGAGAATTAGAGAGATCTTGCACATTTGTATTTATACCTTTTGAGCTTTTCTAGCTGTAAGGGTTTCATGAAATGGGAAAGCATTTTAAAACTCCTAGTTTTTAAGATAAAAAATTTAAAATGTTGTTTCTTTTTTGGCACAGGGTCTCATGTAATCCATGGTGACCTTGAACTCACTGTGTAGTAGCCTAGAATGATCTTGAACTTGTCATTTTCCTGCCTCTACCTCCCAAGGGCTGGAATCACAAGCACGTACCATTAAGCCCAGTTTGTGCAGATCTAGGGATCAAACTCCGGGCATCATATATGTTAGGTAGGCATACTACCAACTGAGCTATTTCCCTAGCCTTCAAGCTTTTAATTTTTAAATGAAAAATGATACCCTTGGAGTTGTCTCAATTGCTGCAATAGATTTTATAAATGTATTCATATACCCTGATCCCTATGCAACCTGAAAAATGTTTCTAGAGTAGTGTGAGTCAGGTTGTGAGAAAAGGAGTCATGGACATTAAAATTGAGGTTAGTTGGATGTGGTGGTGCATGCCTTTAGTTTCACTCAGCACACAAGAGGCAGCAGCAGGTATATCTTTTTGTTCAGGACCAGCCTGCTCTACATAGTGAGTTTTAGGCCAGATAGGGCTGCATAGTGTGACCCTGTCTCAAAAAAAAAAAAAAAGAAAATACCAGTGTTTCCCTAACTCAAACCATAGACAACCATTCATCTATTCATCTTTATTTCTCTAAAATATTTTATTTATGCCGGGCGTGGTGACGCACGCCTGTAGTCCCAGCACTTGGGAGGCAGAGGCAGACGAATCTCTGTGAGTTCAAGGTCAGCCTGTTCTCCATAGTGAGTTCCAGGACAGCTGGGGCTACAGGGAGACCCTGTCTCAAAAAGACCCCTCCCCCCAAAAAAAATTTTTATTTTATTATTTTTTTTATTTTATGTGTTTGCGTGTATTGCCTGCATGTAGGTAAGTGTCGTGCAATGCCCTCAGAGGACAGAAGAGACTGTCAGATCTCCTGGAACTGGAATTACAGACAGTTGTTAGCTGCCATGTGGGTGCTAGGATTCGAACCTGGGTCTTCTGTAAGAACAGTCAGTGTTCTTAACTGCTGAGCCATCTCTCCAGCCCCTAATCTTTAATTCTTTTGTGCAAAAATGTGGTTTGAATTTGAAGTACTGTTTAATATAAATATTGACTGAGATACTTTCATTGTATACTATAGAAACTTTTTTTGACCTTTTCTGGCCAAGTACTTTTTGGGTCATATACTTTCCTGTATTGAAACAGTGACTAAACTAGGTGTTGTAACTAAGTGTAAGCTGGCCAGTCTGAAGGGCAGAAACAGTGTGCATCTGTGTTAATCTCCATTTAATTTTTTTTTTTCTTCAGTCTTTTTGAGACAAGGGTCTCCCTGTAGCCCCAGCTGTCCTGGAACTCACTATGTAGACCAGGCTGGCCTTGAACTCACAGAGATCCCCCTGCCTCTGCCTCCCGAGTGCTGGGACTACAGGTGTGCGCCACCACGCCCAGCAAAAATTTAAATATTTTTTAAAAAATTAAATGGAAGCCAGGCGTGGTGGCGCACGCCTTTAATCCCAGCACTCCAGAGGCAGAGGCAGGGGGATCTCTGTGAGTTCAAGGCCAGCCTGGGCTACATAGTGAGCTGCAGGACAGCTGGGGCTATAGGGAGACCCTGTCTCAAAAGAACCCAAAAAAACAAACAAAAAAATTAAATTTTTTTGTTATTTTTTAATGTTATAAGTGTTTTGCCTGAATGTATGTAACTGTACCACATGTGTGCAATGCCTGCAGGGGCCAGAAGAGGAAGTCAGATCCCTCTGGAACTGGAGTTATGGATGGATGGTTATTAGCTGCTATGTAGGTGCAGAGATCTGAACTTGCTTCCTCTGGAAGAGCAACCAGTGCTCTTAAATGCTGAACCATCTCTCTAGCTCCTCCATTGAGTTTTGACTTAACTTGAAGAGCTATGAACAGTAAATGTGCTAAGTATTGTTACGGGATGTTTTATCTCTTTATCAGTTGCTCAGGTCCTAAAAGGATATGAATTTATACATTTATATGCATGGTGCTTGAACTTTTCTTTTACAATGCTTATTGTGTAATAGGCTTCATTCAATGATGTAATCCAAGGGATTTAATTACAGAAATATTACAAGTAGCCTCATTAATATCATGTAGACTATTCTAGGGTACAACCCTGTGTCTAGCATCAGAACATTTCAAAGTATTCTTGAACCTTGAACTCAAATATGCTTAGAAGTTGCTCTTTTGAATTAGCTTTACAATATAAGAAGCTATTTAATATTTGGCAATTTATTGATTGAGTTCTGTCACAAAGTACTTTTTGTCCCCTCTCTCTTGCCTACTAGTCTTCCCCCAGTTACCTGAAGGAGATCCTGGAACAGCTTCTTGAAGCCATAGTTGTAGCCACAAATCCATCAGGCCGGCTTGTCAGTGAACTTTTTCAGAAACTGCCTTCCAAAGTGGTAAGTGATGTGACTGGAGACAGATAAAATATTTAATTTTTTAAGTAATTTAAGAATTTTATTAGTTATTAATAAATACAATAAGGTTAAAAGGAAAGTGTTGGGGGCAGCCAAGCAATATTCCTGATGGCCTCAACAGAAAGCACAAAAGACATAGTCTATCATTTTACTTGATTAGAAGGTTGACTTTTTTTTTAAATATTTTATTATTTTTATTTTATGTGTATCAGTGTATTGCCTGCATGTATATGAGTGTACCTGTGTCATGCAGTGCTGCGGAGGTCAGAAGAGGGCTTCGGATTACCCTGGAACTGGAGTTAAGGACAGTTCGTAGCCTCCATGTGGGTGCTGGGAATCGAACCCAGGTCCTCTGCAAGAGCCTTCAGTGCTCTTAACTGCCGAGCCATCTCTCCAGACCAAAGGTTGACTTTTTTTAAAAGGTGTGTGTGTGTGTGTGTGTGTGTGTGTGCGCGCGCGCGCGTGCACGTTTGTTGGGGTCTGGCTGTGTTGCTTAGGATGGTCCTAAACTCATAGGCCATTTTGTTTCTTTGATTTAGCAATTCTTTTTTGCTACTACAGTAAACTATACATAGCATAAAATTTACCATTTTAGCTTTATGTTTAATTTTACTTATTTTTGATGTTTTGAGACAGGGTCTTCCTACATAGCCCACATTGGCCCAAACCCAATCTTCCTGCCTCTGCCTCTTAAATATTGGGATTACAGGCCTTCCTGGTTTTCATTTTAGCCATTTTAAATAATACAGTTCTATGACATTTAAATACATTCACGTTGTTGTGCAACTATCATGGCTATTCCTAGAATTTTGTCATCTCTAAAACTGAAACTATACCATCAAGTATTGAGTCCACTTGTTTCACTCTCCCAGCATACCATTCTACTCTTCTATGACTTTTGACTACTTAAGTACCTCATATAAAAGGAAACCAGGTTGGGGATGTAGATTAGTGGCAGAGTCTTGCCTCGCATGCCCAAGGCCCTGCATTCAGTCACCAGCACTACCAAAGAAAGGAACGGAGGACCATGTAGTATTTGTCCTGTGACTTTGTTATGGTTTATTTCACTTACCATGATGTCTTAAGGATTTATCTATGTTGTCACGTGTTAGGACTTCGTTTTGACATATCAATAGTGCCAGGTGTGGTGGCACATGCCTTTAATCCCAGCACTTGGGAGGCAGAGGCTGGTTGATCTCTGTGAGTTCCAGGCCAGCTGGGGCTACAGGGAGACCCTATCTCAAAAAGTAAAAAAAAAAAAAAAAAAATGAATAGCATTCCATTGTATATCCCATTTTAGTCACCCATTCTCTGTAGTGTGAAGGAAATTCTTATACATGCATAACATGGACATTTGAGCTGCTTCCATGTTACAGCTGTTGTGAATTATGCTGTTATGAGCAGGGATTAAACACAGATCTCTTCAAGACCCTCCTTTCCCTTCTTTGGGTATATGCCAAAAGTGGAATTTCTGTATCTGGTAATTCTATATTTAATTTTCTGAAGAATCATTGTACTGTTGTCTTCTTATTTTAAAACTTTAAGTCTCACAATGAATATGCTCATTAGATCTTTTACTATTAAAAAAAAATTGTAATGATAAATATGTGTATGAATATGTGCATGTGTGTGCAGGTCCCAGAGGAGGCTGGAAGAGTGTCGGGTCCCTTAGACCTTGAGTTAACAGGTGGTTGTGAGCTGAACTTGTGTTCTCTGCAAGAGTGGTATGCACTCTTAACCACTGAGTACCTCTCTGGCCCCAAGACATACCTCTAAATAGCTAGTTTTGTCACTGACTGATGGGAAAGGCTGTTTGCCACTCCTCAGGAAACAAAATTTTTTTTTTGGTTTTTTGAGACATGGTCTCTCGATGAAACCCTGGCTGTCCTGAACTCATTATGTAGAGCACGCTGGCCTCAAACTCACAAAGATCTGCTGCCTCTGCCTCAGAAGTGCTGGAGCTAAAGGTGTGCACCACCGTGACTGGCAACAAAGACTTCTTACACACCTGTGACATGCTGAGTTGTATCTGCAAGGCAGGGTCTCAGTCCCTGATTTCTAGAAATTCAGGAGGATGGAGAAGTACAGATATTTAAGTAAATCATCACAGTGAAGTTAAGTGCTGTGCTGGTGTACTTCTCAAAGTTTACTTGAGAATTAGAAGAATGTTGGGGCCTGGAAATTTTTGCAGTTTGAGAAGCTAGAATGCAAGTCATGCCTATAGTCATCATAAGGGGTCCTGATACCTTAAAAAGATATCACTTGTCTAGAAAACCTCTTCCTTTTTTGGGTGGAAGAGTACATAATTTATCCTTCTCTTTATCACCAGGATACAAGGAAACCTAGGAGGAGAAAGAACTTGTCTTCCTCTCACCCTATACTAAACAGTGTTTCTTCTGTTTGTTTTTTTTAAAAAATATATTTTTATTTTATGTATATGAGTGTATTGCCTGCATGTATGTGAGTGCACCTGTGTCGTGCAATGCCGCGGAGGTCAGAAGAGGGCTTCAGATTCCCCTGGAACTGGAGTTAAGGATGATTCGTAGCTGCCATGTGGGTGCTGAACCCGGGTCCTCTGCAAGAGCAGTCAGTGCTCTTAACCACTGAGCCATCTCTCCAGCCCCAAGTTTCTTCTGTTTTATAAAAAAGTATATTTTAGATGTTTTTTTTTTCATTTTGTCTTTTTGAGACAGGTTTTCTCTCTAGCCCCAGCTGGCCTGGATCTCATTATGTAGACCAAGCTGACCTGAACTCACAGAGATCTGCCTGCCTCTGCCTCCCGAGTGCTGGGATTAAAGGCATGCACCACCATGCCTGGTGAGAGATCTTATCTTTTAAGTTAAAAAGGGAGGGGCTATAAATTCTGATACATGGGTAACATGAGCAGTTCCTGAACATATGCTAAATGAATAGCTAGTCCCAGAAGGAGAAATCCTATATATGGTTCATCTTGTATGAGAAACCTAGAATAGTCAAAATCATAAATGCAGAAAGTAGAATGGTGGCTGTTCTAGGGAGAAAAAGCAGTCTGACTTCCTCAAACCTCTGGAGTCTTAAAAACAAAACGAAACACTGAATTTTTGGTACTGGCGCAATGACTTATTCAGTAAAGTGTTTGCCACATAAGTATGAGGACCTGAGTTGGGATCCCAGCATTCATGTGAAAAAGCTGCACGTTGTTGTGTGCCCTAGCACTGTGGTAGCAGAAACAGGAGAATCCCCGGTGCTCTCTGGCTAGCCTTCTAGCAGAATTGGCAGGCTCAAGGTTTAAGTGAGAGACCCTGGCTCATGAAGTGGAGCTAGAGAAAGACACCTGATACCAACTTTTTTTTCTCTACATGCACGCACACACATGACCACATATACAAGAACAAAGACAACTTTTAGTTTTTGCTCAACTTCAGTTATTGACTCTGAGGAACAAAACTTGTAGGAGAGCCTGAGGGTAAAGAATGTGAAAGCCATCATGAAAGCTTCAAAGGCTTTCCCCAGTGTGTCAGCTTCTTGGGGTCTTGTATTAGATAAATTACACATGAGTGTCTCACCTGTGGTCTGTGGGCCACACACACGCAGGGATTCTGGGAATGTGCCAAACACAAAATCATAAACTTAAAATATTATTAGGGGTGGGGATTTTTGCAATTTTTTTAAACTCAATTGTGTGGTTTTCAAAAAAGAAAAAATACATTTGTGGCTTCAAATAATATACAGTATAACTGTGTCTATAGTCATGAATTTCATGAAGGTGCCCAGTTTACCACTTGAGCAAATTGTCGGTGTGCCTCTTAACTTCTCATTAACTGAATACTTTTACTCATTGAGCATATGATGCTTTTGTCTTCCAGCAATATCCAGATTATTATGCAATAATTAAGGAGCCTATAGATCTCAAGACCATTGCTCAGAGGATACAGGTATGAAGGTGACCATCTATAATTGTGTGATTTGGGGCAAATTGGCCTGTGTGCCTTCTTAGGGGCTTTTAGAAAGTCATGAAGCAGAAATTTCTTCAAGGGTTTATTGTTAATGTAGCTTATGATTATGTCTTTGCACTACAGTATAGCTTACGTTGGAGGCTGTGGGTTTAATCCTTGTGAATGAATGAATGAATGAATGAATGACCGACCGGTTATAGACATTTCTGATTGTGAAGCATACATTGACAGTAAAAGCTTTGTTATTTATCTATAGTGGCTTTATCCATCTGCGGTAGATGTTAGAATATAAGATCAGTGAAAGGAGATGCTTGTTTTCAGCTGTGTCCTTCCCTCCCCACACAATTTCCTTAGTGGTAAGAGCTACAACTTATAAGAGATTTGCTATATACCTCGCACTGCCCTAAGTGCCTTGTATTACCTAAGTTATTTTTACAACTCATATGGATACTATTGTTATTACCCTTTTACAGATAAGAAAACAAACATGACTATGTTAAATAATTTGCCAATTTCTGAAGGAGAATATTTGAATCCAGACATTATGGCTCCAGAGTCTGTTCTTAACTTCAGTATTTACTCTCTCACCATAGACTACATACTCAAGCAATAATTAACTAAAAGAATGATGAGGATGAACTGTTTGATGATCAAAGATTAAGGAAAGTTGGTAAACAAAACTACCAGAATCTCCAGCTCCTAGGAATCTAGTTTTTAGAGCAGAACTTGTGTTCTTTTCCTAGCTCTGCATCTTATTAGCTGTGTCATTTTGATTGGGTGACCTGCCTGCTTCCTCTGCCGTGTGTTGAGTGTAGTGTTACCACCTTACAGGGTCATGGACATGGTAGTGATGTATGTAAATCATCTCACATAGCCTCATTCACTATGTTGCTTATCCTTTCTGAGTGGGAGTTTGCTGCTCCTAGAAAACAAAAAGAACCACTTGTTATATGGTCTCATTGAACAGTGAGATGAAGCAAAGTAGTTTGTCATGAGAGAGAAGCTTCCTTAGCCTTAAATTCTAAGAGGGTATTGGCGTAACAATATAATTACTGGTTCTACAAGGACATTTTTGAAGAATGTTAAAATATAGGTCCCCTAATGTATTATCTGCTTGTAAGACAATTCAGTAACTGCTACAGTGTATGTTTAAGTCTCCACAGTCCCTGGATAAATGTTAGAAACCATCTATCCAGGGGATAATATTTTCATAGTACTGAAAATCAAGTCAGATTTTAAGCACTTGTCCAGTCTTTTCTCTCTAAACTCTCATCTTTTCTTCCAAAAGTTCCAGCATCATCTTCTTTTGCCACCATCTTAACAAAATTGTTTTCTTCTGTCCAAATTACTGGAATAATCTTTACTTCCTCTCTGATGTACTCTCTGGTCTTTGCTTGCTTCCTGCCTTCCCACTGCCCAGAGACTTAAGTCTCTTGTTTCCTTATAGATGTTATTATTCCTTGTAATAATTGAAAAAATAATCAATTTAGCTTAAACAGAAAAGAAATTTATGGGAGCAATATCGAATAGCTTATAGCATTTTTGGAATGGAAGACTAGAAAAATACCCTCTAGAAAATTGACAGAATTCAGAGTTGTCATGGAACAGATGAGATTATGTACAACCTCTTTGTGTATACATTGCTGCTACCACTGTCATGTATTACCAGGGACCCTGATTACTTGCAGGCCAGCTGACTTGTTGCTAGACTTCTGCACAGATGACAGAAATGAATTCCTGTCATCCTTGACTTGCTTTAGTCATTTAAGATCTAAGTGTGAATTAGCTGACTCATGATTATTTCCCTGTGTCTTGCTGCTAGGCTGTTGGCAAAGCAACTATCTGCCAATGTTCACCCTTATTTCCCTATACCTACCACCAATTAAGATGGATAATCAGATGTTGAGTCCCTCACATAGAAAATAGCCAGCAGTTCTTTGCCTGGCTGTCCTGATTTTGCCTCATTTGGCATTTCTGTTTGTGCAGCCTGTACTATAGTTGTGCTCTTCCTGACCCTCCATTGCACTCAATTTGGTTTCTCCCCTCTTTAAAACTTGTCTTGTTTATCTATACTAACCATCGGTCATATGTGCCTTTCATCTGGTGTGTAAATTTGTAAATTTCCCTGTAAATTTGAGGCAACTATATTGAATAACCCTTTGTGATTTTGGACCGAGTAAGTTTTAAGATGTGCTATCTCTGACCCATAGTAGAAGTAATTTTGTAACTGAATAAGTAGAGGCAGTGTACACTATCAAGTCTTCTTGTATAGAATCCAGGTAGCACCTGTTGTTTGGCACATAGTAAGCACTATGTTTTTGCTTATTTGATTTTTCAAAAATTGTAAGTTATTTTTATGAAAATAATATAGATTCTGGTTATCTTTCACAAAACATACTTGTAACTGGTAGTATATTAATAATTTATAAAAGAAAATAACTTTACATGTTGTTTACATGTGTACTTTTCAGTGATGTCCTGGACTCTATTGATGACTTAAAAATATGTGGAGTTCTTTTATTAAAGGTTATATTAACTCTGATTAATTGGAATTGTTATATCTTGTTTACTGTAGAATGGAAGCTACAAAAGTATTCATGCAATGGCCAAAGATATAGATCTCCTAGCAAAAAATGCCAAAACATATAATGAGCCTGGTTCTCAAGTATTCAAGGTTAGTTTTTTGTTGTTGCTATGTTCATTGATGATAATAGGTATTTTAACTCAGGGTCAATATTTTTTATGTACTAACTTAAGAGTTAGAATTCACATAGCTTGTAAATTTCACCCATTTAAAATATACAGTGTAATGGTTTCTAGTATATTTTGAGTTGTGTAGCTTTTATACCAGTTGGTTAGCCATCACTCTTCATTTCTCTGTAACTTCCTGAGCCCTCAACAGCCACCATGTAGCTTTCTGTCTCTATGTATTTGCCCATTCTAGACATTTCATGTAATGGAATCATACAGCATTGTGGTATGGATTCTTTTGTGACTGGATGCCTTCATTTAGTATGATGTTTTTTAAGATTCATGTATGCTATAGTGTGTGTCAGTTCTTCATTTTTATTGTTGATTAATATTCTGTGCTATAGATAGTGCCATGTTTTATTTAACCATTGGATGCTAGACAAATAATTTGAGTTGTTTCTATTTTCTGGCTATTATGAATATACTGCTATAAACATTCATATATGTAACTTTTTTATGTAGACATACATTTTAATTTCACTTGGGTGCATACCTAGGAATGGAATTGCTTAGTTACATGTTAACTGTGTATTTATCTTACTCGGGAATCGGCAAATTACCATTTGACAGTCCTACCACATCTACAAATGCTGCAGTTTCTCCACATTCTCATCAGTACTTGCTTCCCATTTTTGTTTTTATTAAACCATGCTAGTAATTGTCAAGTAATATGTTACTATAGGTTTGATTTGCCTGTCTCTAATGTAATTAATGATGCTGAACATCTTGTACACAGTGACCATTTGTGTGTGTGTGTGTGTGTGTGTATTGTCTTTGGAGAAATGTCTATTTTGATTCTTTGCCTATTTTTCAGCTCAAGATTCTTTTTGGGGGGAGTGGTCTTTTTGAGACAGGGTCACCTAGAACTCTTTTTGTAGACCAGGCTGGCCTTGAACTCAAAAAAATCCGCACCACGCCCGGTGTAACTTCTTTTATTGTTGTTTAATGTATCATACCCTTATCAGACAGATGATTTTTAAATATTTTCTTCCGTTCTCTTGTCTTTTCACTTTTGTGATAATTTCTTTTGACATAGAAACTTTTTTTTTTTAATCTTATGTGTATGCGTGTATTGCCTGTATGTAGGTAAGTGCACCCGTGTTGTGCAATGCCCGTGGAGGTTAGAAGAGGCTGTCAGATCCCCTGGGACTGGAGTTATGGACAGTTAACTGTCATGTGGGTGCTGGGATTCAAACCCGGTCTTCTGCAGGAACAGCCAGTGTTCTTAACCATTGAGCCATCTCTCCAGCTCTAAGGCACAGAAGTTTTTTAATTTTGAAGAAATCTAGTTTTTAGTTTTTTCTTTGTTCACTTGTGTTTTAGATTTCATATCAAAGAAACCATCACCTAATCTAAGAACACAAAGATTTATACCTGTATTTGATTCTAAGAATTTTATTGTTTTAACTTTTACATTGAGATCTTGGATTTAAACTGAATTAAATTTGTGTGTGTGTGTGTGTGTGTGTGTGTGTGTGTGTGTGTATGTGTTAGGTAGGACTCCAAATACATTTTTTTTACATAGGTTGTTATTCCAACACTATGTAATTTAAAAAGTTATTCTTTCTCTATTGAATTGTCTTGGCCTCCTTACTGAAAATCAGTTAACCATGAATGTAGAGGTTTGTTTCTGGATTCTTGGTTTTTTTCTGTTCATCTAAATATTTAATTAGGATTCTTTCTAGATCTCTTTTAAAACTATTTGGTCTCTGCAGCCTTTTAAACTTGTACTTAATTAGTGATAACTTCTGAAGATAATTTGGAAGCTTATGGAAATGTTAGGGATGCAGCTTTGTGGCTATTGACTAGAAGCCTGCTCCAAATTAAAGAGTGTAAAACTTACCCAGTGCATGAGTGAGGGCATTTTTGCTGTCCTTTTGACCGATTCTTTTTTTAAAAAACTACATTTATGGGCTGGAAAGATGGCTCACCTGTTAAGAGCACTCACTGCTCTTGCAGAGGACCCAAGTTCTATTCCCAGCATCCACATGGTGGCTATGAACCATCCTTAGCTCCAATTCCAGGGGAATCCAAAGCCCTCTTCTGACCTCCGCAGCATTGCACAACACGGGTGCACTCACGTACGTACAGGCAATACATTCATACACATAAAATAAAAATAATAAATAAAAAAAATTTTAATTACATTTATTGAGGCTGGAGAGATGGCTCAGTGGTTAAGAACACTGGCTGTTCTTGCAAAAGACCTGGGTTCAAATCCCAGCACCCACATGGCAGCTAACAGTTGTCCATAACTCCAATCCCAGGGGATCCGACAGCCTCTTCTGACCTCTCGGGCATTGCACGACACGTGCACTTACCTACGTGCAGGCATAACACTCATTCATACACATAAAATAAAAATTATAAATTTTTTAAAAATTATATTCATTTATTTATTTAGGGTTTATGTGGGCTCACAGCTGGGACAGTGTGTGTATGGAGATTTGAGGTCTCAGTTCTCTCCTTCCAGCTTGTGGGTCCCAGGATTTCCTGCTGAGCCATCTTGCCAGCTCCATTTTTCTTTTTTCTTTTTCTTTCTTTTTTTAAAAGACAGGGTCTTACTATGTAACACTGACCTGGAACTCATGGAGATTCACCTGGTTTTGCCTCCCAATTGCTGGGATTAAAGGCATGTGCCACCATGCCTGGCCTCACATTTCTTTTTTTAAGCCAAGTAATTTTATCTTGACAGGATGCCAATTCAATTAAAAAAATATTTTATATGAAAAAGGCGGAAATTGAACATCATGAAATGACTAAGTCAAGTCTTCGAATAAGGTAAGTTTTAAATGTCTGAGATTCTTGGTCCTTTATATTTGCTGAATTTTTTAACTGATAAAATCAATACAATAAAAAACATTATATTTGCAGTTAATGTGTGATTCTGAAAGAGTAGAGGTAACCTATCTAGCTGTTTCATTGTTACTGAAGATGAAAAGATGTCATGCATATCCTATATAATGTGTATGATACATAGTATTGCATATTTATATTGGCAAGAAGGATGTTTAAACAGAAGCTCTCAAGTCTCATTCTGGCTTTTCCTTTATTAGGACTATATCTTTGAACAAGTTTTAGCTCTGGCATTCCATTTCCTCTTGATAGGAAATGGAGATGTTGAGACTCCTTTCAAAACTTTCTTCTGGCCCTCATGTTTGTCTCAATATGGGGTCCTCTGGTTCTGTAGGAACCATGGCTGTCCAAGACTACCCCTGCTAGTTGTTTTTCTTCTTGCCCCCAGATCCTGACACAGAATCTGCTGTATAGTAGAGGTTCAGAAATATTTTATCATTTCTATTAGAAGAAAATCCTTTTTGTTTATGCAGCATTCTGGTTTTTAGTTATTGAGTCTCTGAGGGTTTTTTTGTTTTGTTTTGTTTTGTTTATCTTATCTCTGGATAGGACTGCTACAAATTTGGCTGCAGCCAGACTGACAGGTCCTTCGCACAGTAAAGGCAGTCTTGGTGAAGAAAGAAACCCCACTAGCAAGTATTACCGGTGAGAGTATGAGAGTATAGTCTTGAGAGCTGACCCCTAATTCTAACTAGATACACTAGCCTCTTGGCTATCTTGAAGTAATATTTTTAGGTTTTTAGAAGAATTTATCAAGTGCTTTATTTAAAAAGATTGAGGTAAAGAGCTGGGCATGGTGGTACATGCCTGTAATCCTAGCACTCAAGAAACTGAGGCCAGGAGGATTGTGAGTTCAAGGCCAGGTTGGGTTATATAGCAAGACTGTCAGAAAAGTAACAAAGTAGATTGCAGTTCTATGGTAATAGACCTTTCCTTGCCTCTGAGAAATACTTAAGCATTATCAAGTAATGTTTAATGTTAGATACAAATAAAATGTGACATTAAGTACTTATTTATACTAAATAAATAAATTTTGTGTTTGTAATAGAATTTGTTATTGTAAAATATGAGTATCTTAGGAGAGAATAACTGACTAAATCCTACCTTTACCTAAACTGAGGAGTAGTTTGCTGCATTTAAGTGAAAACAAACTGTAGTAGTGTAATCCAGGCTTTTTGCCACCACTTTCTTTTTCTTTTTTTTTCCTTAAAGATTTTTTATGTGTATGAGTGTTTTGTCTGCTTATATATACATGTGTGTCTGTGCACATGTGTGTATGTATCACCTATGTTCCTGGTCACCCAGGAGGTCAAAAGAGGGCATCAGACCCCCTGGAATTGGAGTTAGAGACTGTTTAAGATACCATGTGGATGCTGGGAATCAAACCCAGCCCAGGTCCTCTTGCTGGGCCTTCTCTCTAACCACTTTTTTTTTTGGGGGGGGGGGGGGGAGACAGGGTCTCCCTGTAGCCTTAGCTAGCCTGGAACTCATTATATGAATCAAGCTCACCTGGAATTCACTATATAGATCAGGCTGTCCCTGATCTCACAGAGATCCTCCTGCTTCTGCCTTCCAAGTGCTGAGATTTAAGGCATATCCCACACACCTGGGTTTCTCTTTTATGAGAAGAAAGAAAAATCCCATTTTTCTTTGCTAAGACTGATTATAAGGGGGCGAGAGAGCTGGCTCAGTGGTTAAGAGTGCTCACTGCTCTTCTAGAGGACAGGAGTTTGGTTCCCAGCACCTACATAAGATAGCTCACAATCACTTGTAACTCCAACTCCAGGGGATTCAGTGGGCATATGTGGCTTGTACTCACACAGACACATACACATAAATAAAAATAGGTAAAATAATTTTTAAAAACTAATTATGAGCAATGTTAAGTATAAACTAAGGAGACAGTTAATAGAAGTTATTTTTCTTTGATATTAATGTTTTGTTAATGGTTTGTATTTCATTTAAGGTAAGCAAATCATAATCTCTGTCTTCTAATTGCTTGTTTTCCTTATAGTAATAAAAGAGCAGTCCAAGGGGGTCGCTTATCAGCAATTACCATGGCGCTTCAGTATGGCTCAGAAAGTGAAGAGGATGCTGCTTTAGCTGGTAGGCATTAGAGTATGATCATCTGGCTGAGGAAAATTGCAGTGACTTTGTTCTTTCCTGAAATTGGTCAGTTTTTTTTTGAAGAAAATGCTGTTTTGGTGCATTTGATACAGACTTGGGTTGGTAAATTCTCAAAGGCTAATTGCTATATTTGTGTTAAAGCTCACATCTGGGTAAATATAAACACTTAAGAAACTTTGAGGCTGGAGAAATGGTTCAGTGATTAAGAATATTGGCTGTTCTTGTAGAGAAACCACATTTGGTTCCTAGCACCCACATGGCAGCTTAAAACCACCTGAAACTCTAGTTGGAAGGAATCCAACATCCTCTTTTGGCCTCTGCAGGCGGTGCACACACTGGTGCACTTACATACATGCAAGCAAAACATTCATATTCATAACATAAAAATAACAAAGGCCGGGCGTGGTAGTGCACGCCTTTAATCCCAGCACTCTGTGAGTTCGAGGCCAGCCTGGTCAACAGAGTGAGTTCCAGGCAGCTGGAGCTACAGGAAGACCCTGCCTCAAAAAGACCAAAAATAAATAAATTAATTAATTAATTAAATTTAATTAAATTAAATTAAAAAATAATTTTTTAAGAACATAAGGAACTTGAACATAAAAGAGTAAAGATATGCCAGGCAAATGTTAACTAAAGAGTAAAACAGTTACCAAACAGTAGCTATAGCTATATTGACTTCTGATAAAATGGACATTCATGCACAGATCATAAGACAAATTAAACAAGGTTCACTTATAGTGGTAAAAGGTTTGTTTCCTGGGATGATAAATTACAAAAGAACTCCAAATTTGTAAAACAAGCAGAGGGAAATTTATGGAAAATTTGAAAATACTATCTTTTTTTTTTTTTTTGAGACAGGGTTTCCCTGTAGCCCCAGCTGTCCTGGAACTCACTATGTAGACCAGGCTGGCCTTGAGCTCACAGAGATCTGCCTGCCTCTGCCTCCCAAGTGCTAGGATTAAAGGCGTGCGCCCATCTTTAGAGAGTTCTCACTATTGCTAGATAAACAGAGAGCAGGTTTGAATCTCCTCCTCTTCTTCCTCCTTTTCCTCTTTTCATACTGGACAAAGTGCTAATGTTGAGTTACATCCACATCCCTTGATGAGGCTTCTTTATAAGTTCTATTTTGTTTCCTGTTGCTGTTGAAACAAATTACCACAAATTTAGTGACGTAGAGCAACACAAATTTATTTTCTTAGAGTTCTGGAGTTCAGAAGTCTAAAATCAGGGCAGGTAGTAGGCCAGTCTTCCATCTAAATATTCTAGAGAAAAACTCAGTGTTTGCTTTTTCTTACTTCTATAGGCCACCTGTATCCCTTGGCTCATGGTCCCTTCCATCTTCAAGCTAGCTCTTTAGCCTCTGTATCTATTACTTCTCCTTCCTTTGACTTTTATTATCTTCTTTTTGGTGGTGGTCTTGTGATTACTTGGTTTTTGGTTTTTTTTGAGCAGGGTCTCCCTGTAGCACCATCTATCCTGGAACTCAACGTGTAGACCAGGCTGGCCTTTCACTCACAGAGATCCAGTGGCTTCTGTGCCACCAAGCCTGGCTTTGTGATTTCTTTTAAGTGCCTCCTTAATCCAGTTTAATCTTATCATGTCAAGATTATTACTAACAGGGCTCTGGCATTTATAGCCATACCACGTGAGTGCACCTGATCTCAAGATTATTACTAACATCTGCAAAATTCTTTTTTAAAAAAGGTTTTATTTCTTATTTAATGTGCATGAGTATACTGCGTGCATGTATGTAAGTGTACCTGTGTCATGCAGTGCCCACAGAGGTCAGAAGAGGGTGTTGGATCCCCTGGAATTGGAGTTACAAATGGTTGTTAGTTACCGTGTGGGTGCTGGGAACCAAACCTGGGTCCTCTGCAAGAACAGCCAGTGCTCTTAACCACTGAGGCATCTCCTAAGCCCCTGCAAAGTTCTTTTTACATTGATTCGTTTTGGTGCCTATTATGCAGCTTACTACAAGAGGCTTGGTGTGTGCCTTCTACAGTTAGAGAATGTGTATTCTTCCCAGGTTCAAATTCATCAGAATTGACAGCCTACTGAGGTGTAAAATTAAAATTTGAGTGATTCAGAATTATACGGGGCATATTTCTGACTATAATGTAGCTATGATACCAACTGATAATGAAAAGATAAAATTTAAAAACCTAAATGGTGGTTAGGAATGTAGCTCGGTAGAGAACTTACCTAGCCCAGTTTTGTTCCCTAGCACCTATAAGGCTAGGTGTGGTGGCACAGTCCTGTAATCCCAGGATTCCAGAGGTAGAAACAGGAGTATCAGAAAGTTCCACAGTAGCCTCAGCTACATAGCAAGTTTGAGGCTAGCTTCAGCTCCAGAAACCCTCTTCAAGCCTCTACAGGCACACCCACACACATGGCGTATACACATAAATAAAAGTAAGTCTTTTATTTTTTTTTAATTTTTATTTCAGGGTCTCCCTGTAGCCCCAGCTGGCCTGGAACTCACTATGTAGACCAGGCTGGCCTTGAACTCACAGAGATCCGCCTGCCTCCACCTCCCAAGTGCTAGGATCAAAGGCATGTGCTACCACGCCTGGCCCAAAAGTAAGTCTTTTGAAAAATAAATTAGGCTGAGCATGGTGGCCCACACCTTTGATCCCAGCACTTGGGAGGCAGAAGCAGGCAGATCTCTGTGAGTTCAAGGCAAGCTGAGGCTACAGGGAGACCCTGTATCAAAAAGACCAAAAATTTAATTAATTAAAAATAAAAAAGAGGGGGCTGAAGAGGTGGCTCAACATTTAAGAGCTCTTGCAGAAGACCTGGATTTGAATCCTAGCATCCACATGGTGGCTAACATCTGTAACTCCAAAAAAGCTAAAAGGTGTGCATGGTAGCATATGCCTGTATTCCCAGCACTCGGGAGGCAGAGACTTGCTGCTGTAAGTTCAAGGCTAGCCAGGTCTACATAAGGAGACCCTTTCTGGAAAAACTAAATAACAAAATAAAAATTTTCATTTGAGTGTGGTTGAGCCTACTTGCCTGTATTATAGCACTCATGAAGCTGAAGCAGAAAGATTTCCGTGTACTTGAGGCCAACTTGGATTACATAGTGAGTTCTAGGCCAGCTTGGGCAACAGTGTAGGACTCTGATTACAGACAAACAAAAGAAAAAGAGCTTTAAAGGGTTGGTTCGTTTGTGTTTATTTCCCTTATAAGTACATTTTTTTTGTCTTTCCAGCTGCACGTTATGAAGAAGGGGAGTCGGAAGCAGAGAGCATCGCTTCCTTTATGGATGTTTCAAATCCTTTTTATCAGCTTTATGACACAGTTAGGAGCTGTCGAAATAACCAAGGGCAGTTAATAGCTGAACCTTTTCTCCATTTGCCTTCAAAGAAAAAATACCCAGATTATTATCAGCAGATTAAAATGCCCATATCACTTCAACAGATCAGGTAAAATTGCTTCTACATTACTTAGTGTAAAGATGTGTTTTCTTGTAGTTGAGCCTGCACATATATATTCCTTCCTCAAACAGATAAAGATATCAGAAGTAAAAATTTTAAGCCATCTGTCGTATAACTGAGTAAGAAAAAAAATCTTCATGCTTACACTGTTTTTTGGGTTTTCTTTTATTTTTGTTTCTTTGTTTCTTTGATTTGAGACAAGGTCTCACTGGGTAGCCCTCAGGCTGGCCTCAAACTCGTAGAAATTCACCTGTCTTCTGCCTCATGAAATTTTAAAAGTTTGTATGCAGTTCGTTGTAGGGTTTAGTCAATAGAGACTTTTCAACTTGTACAAAGAACATACAGCCTGTCTGAGAGTCCGTGATTAGTAATAACACGAGTATCTAAGATTCCTGAATTTTTAGGGCTTTTAAGTAAAATAAGAAGAGCCCTTACCTTTGAACTATGCTGGTGTTTATAGATGACTGCATTGGAAGGGTGATAGTGAATGGACTCTTGACAGGTCTGCCTCTCATGCCCCATCAAAGGAGCCCTCTTCCAGTCCTTGAGTATCTCCCCTGGAGCCCAGTGCATTGTTTTAAATGCATCTTCATGGCCTTCTCACTAATTTTCCTTTCTATAACCTGTATGAACTGGAATGGCCTCTTATTTCAGAAACCAGTAGTTCACCATGATTCTTCATTGAGTTAGATTGTTTATTTATTTATACATTTTTTGTTGTTGTTCTTTTTTGAGGCAGAGTCTCCTAGTAGCCCCAATTGGCCTGGAAATTGCTGTGTAGACAGGCTGGCCTCAAACTCACAGAGATCCGCCTGCCTATGCTTCCCAAGTGCTAGGACTAAAGGCATGTGCTACCACTCCTGGCTCTTTGAGTTAGCTTTAAAAACTCTTAATTTTTTCCCCTCAGGGTTTTTTCACTGGGTGTTTATTTAGTGTATTTATTGTCATTACTGACCATTCTATCAGGTCCTTTTCTGTAGTTTTTTTTTCTTCCAGATTGTTAGGTAAACTATGGTGCTTTTGGTTCCTTGCTGTTTAGCTGGAAAGACACTTGCACGTCTTCTACTCACTGCTAGCACTAAAGACGTTGTGCTTAGGAAGGTTTTTGTGTTATACTTTCAGGAAGAGTGGTTGGTAGTTTTCAGAATAGAAAGTCATAGTCATTTATTTGTCTCTCACAGAACAAAGCTAAAGAACCAAGAATATGAAACTTTAGATCATTTGGAGTGTGATCTGAATTTAATGTTTGAAAATGCCAAACGCTATAATGTTCCCAATTCAGCCATCTATAAGCGTGTTCTGAAACTGCAGCAAGTTATGCAGGTATGATTTCCTAGTTTCACTGTTTGTTGTATGGATCATTGAAATAGTTTCATGTGTTTTGGGTGACCTTTTGAAATGTGTGATCATCACCAGGAACACTGAGCCATTTGTTTCCACTATAAGTATTGCTGAGTATTTTTTAATATTTTATTTATTTTTATTTTATATGTATGAGTATATTGCCTGCATGTGTGTAAGTGCACCTATGTCGTGCAATGCCTACGGAGGTCAGAAGAAGGCATTGGATTCCCCCGGCACTGGAGTTACAGACAGTTGTTAGCTGCCATGTGGGTGCTGGTAATTTAACCTGGGTCCTCTGCAAGAGCAGCCAGTGCTTTTAACCACTGAACCATATCTCCAACCCATTACTGAATACTTTTTAAGACTTGTCAGACTTATAGAGGAAAACAGTAGTTTGAATAATGTAAACTTCGTGAGTAGAGGAAGCAGGAATTTGTCTCTGGAGGGAGGGGTGTTCGTAGGATTTGCAGCAAGTTACCCTTCAATTCCAGTTGATATTGTGTCATCTACATTTTACCCTTTTGGTTCTAGACTTTGTTAAAAATAGGGCTAGTCTTGTGGGCCAAATGGTTCAAACCTGTAATCCAAACACTCAGGAGGAGACTGAGGCAGGATGATTCTGAGTTACTGGTTAGCTTGGGTTATATAGGAAGACCCTGCCTCATAATAAATAAATGAATGAAGAAGGGAGGGAGGGATGAGGAACAGAGGAATGGAGGGATAGAGGGAAGGAAGGAAGGAAGCTGGCTTAGGAGAAAGCACATCTGAAAGCTAATTAATCGTAGTGTCTAAGAGTTTGTCAGATCTCTCTTGAGGGAACCTGAGGCTACTGGTCATCTAGGAATTGTAGGGCAGAAGAGTAGATAGGAAATACAAATTGAGTCTATTCCACAAGTTCGGTTTTGTTTGGTTTTGTTTTTAAATTATGTGTGAGTGTCTGTGTGGGTATATATGCATGCGAGTACAGGTGCCCAAAGAGTCCAGAATGCGTCAGATCCCACAGAGCCGGAGTTACGGGCAGTTGTGAGCCACCTGACGTGTGTTGGGAACTGGACTTGGTTCCTCTAGAAGGACAGTGAATGTTCTTAACCACTGAGCCATTTCTCCAGCCCAAGGTTTTTTATTATTTTTATTTCTGTGTGTACATGTGCCTGTGTGAGGAAGTCAGGGGACAACTTGAAGGAGTCATTTCTCTCTTTTTTTTTAGATTTTATTTTAATATTGTGTGTGTGCCTGTGTCTGTATATGTATATGTATATGTATATGTATATGTATATGTATATGTGTAGGTGTCCTCAGAAGAGAGCATCAGATCCCCTGGAGCTGAAGTTATAGGCAGTTGTGAACTTCTTGATGTGGGTGTTGGGAACCATGCTTAGGTCTTGTGAAAAAACAGGAAATGTTCTTAACCACTGAGCCATCTCTCTAGCCCCTCATTTCTCTACCATGTAGGTCTTGGGGTGGGGGGCGGGAGGATCAAATGCAGGTCATCGGGCTTGACAGCAAATGCCTTTATCAGGTGAGTGTCTCACCAACCTGTATCTCACAATGTTTCTGGAAAGATAAGGAAGCAACAAAGGCAATTTTTAAATCACTCATAGACTCTTCGTTTTTATGATCAACGCTGATACTTAGTATGGTGAACTTCATGTGTCCCCTTTGCTATGTTTTCACATCTGTTCTCTAAGCCTGCTGTGCTTGGGGTATCAGCTGTGTTTGGCAGAAGGTCTTAAAAAATGTATGTGTTGGGAGGTCTAGATCTTCACCTCTCATGTTAACATTTTCTTAGGCATACTGCTCCTAAAAGTCAGGTGCTGAAGATCCCCTTTGAATTGTTTAGCTTAAATATGCCCACCAGTATAGGGTTACATAGCTGACCCTACAGTTTGACTCAATGTTTTTAACCAGTCTATGCCCTTCACAGTTGTAAGTGCTCTAGCTAACATTGATTTTTTTTTCTATAAATATAAATCCACTTTTCTAACCTACTTTTCTGTCGTGCAGGCTTTTGTTAAATTAGGTTATTGAAAATGTGTAAAGATCATTTAATTTTGTGTATCCTGTGCATAGTTGTAACTTTCTGAATGAACGTGGTATATCTAGCTCTTTAACATTCATGTATTCATAGGAATGCCTGACAGAGTGAGGCTGACTCCTAGGATCTGCTCTGTTTTAGGCAAAGAAGAAGGAGCTTGCCAGGAGAGATGACATTGAAGATGGAGACAGCATGATCTCTTCAGCCACTTCTGATACTGGTAGTGCCAAAAGAAAAAGGTCTGTGTTCTCCTCATAGCTGGAACTAGCTCAGTTCCTCTTTGTTTTGTTTTAGGTGAGAGCAGAAAAGAAAAAAAAAAAAAGCTATAAAGTATGAATTCTGTTAAAAGCTTTAAATATAGCTGGGCATGGTGACGCATGCCTTTAATCCTAACACTCAGGAGGTAGAGGCAGGTGGATGTGAGTCCCAGGCCAACTGGGGCTACAAGGAGACCCTGTCTCAAAAAGACCAAAAAAGGAAAAAAAACAAACAAACAAAAAAAAAACCTTTCAATATTTGATAGTGTGTCTTCTTTTAGATTTTATTTGTAAATTAGACAGTTTTTCTTTTTTACAAGTACCATATTTACTCTTAAATGACAGAGAAAAATTGCATGTAGCTTGGCAAAACATCTTTTTATTGTCTAGGTTACTTTTTTAAGGTGGCATTTTAAAAGTGCCATTTAAAACCTTATTTAGATAATTTCTTCATATTGAATTACAAAGACGAAATATGACCTAAGATAAGAAAGGTAAAGGGAAAAATAAGTATTGCCACTGCAGTGAAGGAACTCGTTGCTCTGATCTTTCCATTTTCCCTGTTAACTTAGTCTCTGTTTATGACTTTGAGAATAAATAAATTACAGTTTTTTAAATCAGTAAAATGTTAAGGTAATTATTTGGATGAGATTCTTTTGTTTTGTTTCAATTTTTTCCTTTCTAACCATTCTTTCAACATCCCTAAACCATTCTTCCTCTCTTGAGTGTTGTGGAAGGGAACCTTACTGTAAGATTCTGAGACTGGAGTCATATAAGGAATCACGCAAAACCATCCTTGGACTTTCTCTGGCCTGATCATTGTGAAACACCATATTCTCCCTCGGTGTGAACTGTTCTACACTCTTTTCAGCAGCAGTCAATCAGGGAGGATACTTGAACAGTGAATAATCCAGTAACTAATTGCAGGGCTTGACAGATTCAGAATTGAATGAAGTCGGTAGTAGCTTTTGACACAGTTCTTTATGTGTACTAAAAGATTTACTATGTGTAGTAAAAGAAAGTTCTATAAAGTGATTTAGAAAGGAAAAGCTGCCCTATCTTCCCCTCTTAAAGGACATTTGGGAAACTTTTTTTTTTTTTTTTTTTTTTTTTGGTCTTTTTGAGACAGGGTCTCCTTGTAGCCCCAGCTGTCCTGGAACTCACTATGTAGACCAGGCTGGCCTTGACCTCCCAGAGATCCACCTGCCTCTGCCTTCCAGGTGCTGGGATTAAAGGCCTTCGCCACCACACCTGGCGCTGGGAAACATTTTTTAACTTTGAAAATAGCTGCAATGCTGTGCTGTTACTAGTAACTGAATTGATTAGGGGGCCCTGAGCTGCCATTCTCTTTCATTACTTGCTTATGAATCTCATCATCTGAGTTCTTAATTCCCTTTTATGCCAGGGACAATGGAGGAGAAATGTGAAACCAGATCAGAGATAACCAAGTCAAGAACATCTTTAGTTAATTTTATAGTTAGTTCTCTTCAGCATTACCTATGTTTTCCATATCAGTCACCAGTCAAAGACAAAAACTTCTCAGGCAAAAGAAGTTAATGGAGGAAAAATTTTGATAGTGTAGTTACTGCACACACTGGATGCAAGAACCATATTAAATTAGTTTAGTATTATGAAAGCAGTTCCAAAAAAGCATTAACCCAAGCCAGATATTTAAGAATTACATATCCCCTTGTCCTGTAGTTAGATTACATGAAACTTATTGCTCTTAAATTTCAATAAAAAGAAGCCGTATGTTACTAAAATAACAATAAAATAATAAATTCCATTTCATACAAAAAGTCTCTATACAAAGAGATTTCCTAGGAAATGCTTTATATAATAAAGTGAAAAATAAGAGAACAACTACCAGAGCAAATGTGAATGGATGTTAAAAGATTGAGAGATAATTAGGTTCTATAATTGGTCGCTAACAAAATAACTTGCTGGCCTTTTAGGTTGAAAGGTTTTGGTAATAAGAAGTAGATTTCTGCAGAAGTCAAGAGCTATTTCCAAAATACCAGTTGACTCCTAAGTAACTGATAGGATTCTATTTGTGCCTTTTTTTTTTTTTAACTTTTAAAAATTTAATTTACTATTTTTATTTTATGTGTATGCGTGTATTGCCTGCATGTAGGCAAGTGCACTCGTGTCATGGCAATGCCCGTGGAGGTCAGAAGAGGTTGTCGGATCCCCTGGGACTGGAGTTACAGACAGTCGTTAGCTGCCATATGGGTGCTGGGATTCGAACCTGTGTCTTCTGCAAGAACAACCTGTCTTCTTAACTGTTGAGCCATCTCTCCAGCCCCGTGCTGTGCCTTATTTTTTTAATACTAAGTAGTATGAGAAAAGAAATTGATTGTGGGAGAAATTGATATATTCTCTTCATTCTGATAAGGCATTTTCTTCCTAACCTCTAGCGCAAAATCCACTTTCTGTTTTCTGTGTTGAAATGTTCTAAGTGATAATGATCTTTTATCCCCTGGACCAAGTAATCTTTTTCTCAACCATATTTGGTTTATGCATGACCCTCCAATGTTGCTTGTTTTATTTCTCTTCACATGTACTATTTGTTTCTGCTTTCCCAGGAACACTCATGACAGTGAGATGTTGGGTCTCAGGAGGCTATCCAGGTGTGCAGACCTTTTTTAATGCATAAACATACTTTTAATTCTTCTGTGGCATGGTCAGTACTGACAATACAAAAAGTAAAGATTTATGCATGTAACAAACATATTTGGGGTGCCAGTTTATTTTATGAATAAAGAAAGCAGTACAGTTTAGAAGTCTACTTAGAAATATCTAAATTAGCCTCCACATGTTTAGTACTACTCTGAATTTGTTGCTAGGTTTCTTTTCCACTATCACTGTGGCTGTGCTGCTTTAGCAAAAAATAAAGGCTGTTAATAGAGTGACATTGCTAGTGAACAGGGCTGGCATCTCAGGAATGTCTTACTGATTGGGGTGGTGGAAGGATCAGAATCAGCATTGACAATCCAAATAATCAGTGCCTATAAGCACTTTTGCTGTGTTGGGCTAGTGCTTCTAGATAGTTCCACAGTCTCTGAAATTGGATCCTGTCCACATCCGATTTCAATAAAGGTATCCATTTCTTTAATACATCTTTTTGCTTGTTACTTAGAATTCTTCAATACAGCCTATGAGCTACCATGTTACAGTGCTGAGTGATAACTGTGTAGTGCTTTTACTCACACATTTACTCTCTGACATTCACAGTGTCAGTTGCTTACAGAATAGAGTACTCTTACAGATCATTTAGTCCTCTTTTATACATGCCTGGAAGTTAATGGCCACAGAAAGAGGCAGGTTAGAAATAAGCAAAATTAAGTGGGAGCCATGTAATAAAGTAATTGCACAAGATGCACAGCTATATAGTTGCATAAAAATGTTGCCTTGGGGACTAGAGATATGTCAGCAGTTAAGAACCCTCGCTGCTCTTCCAGCACCCATATCTGGAAGCTCACAGCTAACTATAACTCAAGCTCTTAGGGGATCCAACACCCTCTTCTGGCCTCCACAGGCATCTATATTTATGTGCACATACCTACACACAGACACATAAATAAAAAATAATAATAGCAAATCTTTTTAAAATGTTGCCTGATTGCCCAAATAGCTTTATGAAAGATTATTTCTATTCCTTCTTCCTTTTTGAAAATTTAAATGTACTAAAGTTGTCATATATACCTCACACTAGCTAATTACAGCTATTCTCATCTTCCTAATTTTTTTTCCTTAAGGAAAGTTTTTTGAGCCAGCTAATAGTAACTCATACCCATAACCCAGCACATGAGTCCTAGAACAGGAGAATTTGCTGAGTTTGAGCCAGCCATGGTAGTAAGTTCCAAGCTAGCTGGAGCTACAGAGTAAGAACCTATCTGTTAATTAATTAAATGTTTTGGGCTAGATAATAAATTTCAGAAAAGACCACAGATTATATTCTTTTATAGCTTTCATAGTATAGGGCAACAAGTCTGGGTGTTAAGAGAAGTACAAATGGGAACCATTTATGGAGTACTGATGTAACTTGAGTTCTATAGAGTGTGTGCTCAAATTCAAACTTCAGCTGTTTGAATTGGATCTCAGTGCTTTGGGATCTAAGCCTCAATCTGCAAAAGGAAATGATGGCAGTACCTCACAGTTGGTCAATATGTTGAAAGCCATTAGATCTGGGCCAAGCTGCAGTGAGTCCTCAGTAAGGGTAGCTCTTTACTATTTCTGGAGGTATACCTGTTGACGTGATTTGGTAGGTTTCAGTTTGGTTTTACTCAGATATTGCCAGTTTTGGATGACTCACTGGGAAAGATGAAGTTTCTTTCCTTGAGGGCTTGAGGATGAAATACAGCAAGCTTTATAAAGGGAGAACTTTTGTATTTACTTAGCTACAAGAATCACTGAAGCTCTTAGAGCAGGGAACTAAGGGCTGTGAGACCTTAAGCCCATAAACAGAGTTGACTTTTATTAGACTTTTGGTAAATACTAGCTTTGGGGAAAGCAAGGGACATTGTAAAAGCAGCATGATTATCAGCCCTGATTATCTTTTCAATGGCCTTAGGCATTAATTTGGTCTTGACGCCTCAGTTTTTAATTCTGTAGAGCTTGGATAATAATTGTGCCCAGTTCTCAATGTTTGACTATTTAGCAGATGATGAAAGTGTTTACATAACCTGATATAAATACTCATATAATCATAGTAGGAGTTTTGTTGGTACATATTCAAGACAGTACATAAAATAATAAATAGAGCTTCACAAAAAGAAGCTCTTGGAGGGTCAGTCACAAAGGATTAGGGTCAGAACTAACCCTGGGGCATGAAATTGAAAAGAAACTCAGATCTAGAAGGGCTATAGAAGTATTCTAGAATTTGCTAATAGCAGAGAGGGATAAAAGGTGACTATGATTCCAGTGTTTCAGGTCAAGTGGGGCTCAGAAGGATGGCGATGATGGTCCCAGGAAATTAGCCATTCATCTCATGGTGGTGGCCCACTCCTGTAATCATAGGGGCTGCATCCAAGAGGCTAAGGCAGGAAGATCACCATGAGTTCAAGGCCCCCCTGTGTTACCACATGAGAACCTGTTGGAAAAACAAAAAGGCTGCCATGGAATCAGAACAGAGACTAGAGCCCCTTTTCACTCATAATCTTTGTGCAAAATAGAAAGGGCATCCATTCATTTAAGACACTTAACTTTCATATGCTAGAAGCTTGCTATACTATACTGATTTTTTAAAAAATATTATTCTTAAAAATATTTTTGTTTTTATTTTATGTGTATGGGTGTATTGCCTGCATGTGTGTAAGTGCACCTGTGTTGTACAATGCCCTTGGAGGTCAGAAGAGGGCGTTGAATCCCCTGGAACTGAAATTATGGATGGTTGTTAGCCACCATGTGGGTGCTGGGAATCAAACACAGGTCCTCTGCAAGGACAGTACTCTTAACCGCTGAGCCATCTTTCCAGCCCCTTATTTATTATTTTTTATTTTATGTGTTTGAGTATATTGCCTGCGTGGATGTAAGTGTAGTCCTCTTCTGACCTCGTACAGTGCCCACAGAGGTCAGAAGAGCACGTCAGATTCCCCTGGAACTGGAGTTATGGACAGTTGATAGCTCTCATGTGAGTGCTGGGAATTGAACCTGAGTCCTCTAAAACAGCAGCCAGTGCTCTTAACTGCTGAGCCGTCGCTCCAGCTCCTGTACTATACTGATATTAATTAATACAGGATTTTTTATGGCCCATCTCCTGTAAAATTATTTTTATTACAGCGTCTGTGATCTGACTTGGAATCCTCTTAAGTATGGTCCCTTCAGTACAATGATAAACAGCCTTGATTTTTATTCCCTGGATCTGTTTTAGCTGGGCATGGTGGCTCATGCTTGTCCTCTTAGCACTTGGGAAACAGAAGCAGGAGGATTCTGAGTTTGAGGCTAGCCTGAGCTGCATAGTAATGAGACTGTGTTGAATGGAAAAGGTATTTTAGCCAGGAGTGGTAGTAAGCAAATATATGCAATGCCAGCAGTCAGTAGTAATGAGACAGGAGTTCCTGAGTTTTAGGCTAGCCTGTGTTATGAGACCCTGTCTCAGGGAGAGAAGAGAATTTATTTATTTAATTTCTCTCTTTTTTTTTTTTTTTTGGCCTTTTTGAGACAGGGTCTCCCTGTTCCCTGTAGCCCCAGCTGGCCTAGAACTTGCTATATCAACCAGACTGACCTTGAACTCACAGGGATCCACTTGCCTCTGCCCCCCAATTGCTGGAATTAAAGGCATACCACAGATCTGTCTCAAAAAGACCAAAAAAACAAACAAACAAACAAAAAAAAAAACATTAAAGTCTGCCATAGATGCAGACTCAAATGAGTATTCATAGCTTCATGCAGAAAAGTCTCATGATAATTGGGAGTGGTATGCTGAATCCTGGAAGGGAATAGGATTGATCTTATGGCCCCATTCTGTCTGTGACTGAAGTGTTCTGCTTCTTGGAACTCCTAGAATGAAGAAGACTGATTTCATTCTGAATTCTCTAATGAGCTCTTTTAAGCTTACCACATAAAACTGAATTCTTGCATCTTTCTTTTATAAAGTCAAGCTCCACATGTGAAATATTTCTAAACAAACCATATCTGGCTTGAATAGATTTAAGTATGACTTTCTGTGACTTGATTCAGGTTCTGAAATTTTCTCTCAGGGTAGTTGCTGAAGGTTGAAGTTGTCTGTGTTGTGATCTCTGCCCTGTGGAGCTCTACAATATTGGAGCTTTGTCCCACAGTGTCACCCATATTTTCTCTTTGAAGAAGTACTTTCTTCACAGTGTCACCCATATTTTCTCTTTGAAGAAGTACTGTCCATTAGATGAATTGTCTCCTAGACCGTGTGTCATTTATCTGACATAGAGACACAAAAGAACAGAAGGGAGAAATTGGGAGAACGATCCTAGGTCCACAGAGGAAGATGAGCAGTCAGAATAAAGTCACAGTGGTGAGGATAAGCCCAATCCTGAGAACCAGAGGTTCTTTTTCTTCTTTTCTCCTAATTAGGTCATTATCAGCTTGTCTTGAGCTTCATTACACTAATAGGTGTTCCTGAGATTTGACATAAGAATGGTTTTTCAACTGCTGACTATTCTTTTATTTGCCCTCTCCCCCTCGTGGGCTTTTGTTTTTTTTCAGACAGGATTTTATGTAGCCCAACTGCCCTAAACTTGCTATGAATCCCAAAATGACCTTGAACTTCTAATCCTCTTATCTCCAACTCCAAAGTGCTGGAATTAAGCTGTTCACTGCTAGGCCTGGGTTCTGTTTCTATTTTTAAAAGACATTATCTTAAAATTGAGGAAATATCTGGCCACTTTATGACCCAGTGAGAATATAGTCAGAGGACTAGGCTAAGAGACGCCTATAACAGCATAGGCTTGTTTTTTTTAAGAAATGAACTTAAGGGGCTGGAGAGATGGCTCAGCAGTTAAGAACACTGGCTGTTCTTACAGAAGACCCAGTTCGAATCCCAGCATCCACACGGCAGCTAAAGACTGTCCATAACTCCAGTTCCAGGGGATCCGACAGCCTCTTCTGTCCTCTACAGGCATTGCACGACACGGGTGCACTTATCTACATGCAGGCAATACACACATACACATAAAAATAATAAAGAAAATATTTTTAAAAATTAAAAAAAAAATGAACTTAAGATTTCCATCTGACAGGGGCTGGAGAGATGACTCAGTAGTTAAGAGCACTGGCTGCTCTTGCAGAGGACTGGGTTCAGTTCCCAGCACCCACATGGCAGCTATCATCTGTAATTCTAGTTCCAGGGGATCCGATGCCCTCTTCTGACCTCCATGGACAGTATTGCATGACATGGGTGCACTTAACATACATTTAGGTAGTACACACAACACATAATTAATATTTTTTTAGAAAAATGAGAAACAGCTAAAAATATTCACCTCTAAGTAATAAGTACTATATTATAAGATTTTGGCAAATACTTGTTGAATAGAAATTAAATCATAAGCCATTTCTTGTTTTACCTCCCTGACCACTTGGAGACAGCTGTGTAGACTGACTAGAATTTATTGATATCCTGAAGTCATACTGGAAGATGAACTCTTTGAGTAATTACTGAGCAGTCTCCCTTGGACATTTCATTTAGCTTCTCTGAGCCAGTTCTCTCAGCAGTTAGGAGATGAGACCATTTGTTGTCTTGGGCCCTTTCTGAACTCTGCCAGTCTTGTCCTTTTTTCTCTGCCACTCATACCAGTTTCTCAGTATCGCAGTTCACTTGTGGAATTTGGAGAACCAAGTCAGTGCAAGAGAGACTTGTGCCCATTATGGAGATAATGGTTTGGCAGTTAGTTTTTTTTCTGACAAGCAGAAGTATACTGTTGTTTAGGAGTAGTTGTGTTAACAGATGGAACACTTCTAATTTTTAGGCTGTTTTGTCTGTGTTTAGAAGTGAAGTGTTAATGGAAATAGCTAGTTTTATTGCACTATTTGTCTCAAAACCAATAAATGTATTTCAGTTGATTATAGAATTTCATTTTCTTTTGGTATCAGACAGTATCTTTTTTTCAAACATTGTATTTCATGAGCTACTTAGCAGGTTTGTTGGAGTTGACTGGTTGCTCCTACCAGGATCACTGTTCAAACCATTTTGGGGAAACTTTCTTAATACACACCTTCCAACATGTTTACTATGTCTGTGGCATATGTAATCAATACATTATAATTATCGTGAAGCACTTGTCCACAGATTAATTTATTTCATTTTGTGTTTATCCTTGGATAAAGAAAACTGAACCTCTTGTCATTTTTCCCCTTTTCTACCTTCCCCCTCAACAGTAAAAAGAACATAAGAAAACAGCGAATGAAAATTTTATTCAATGTTGTTCTTGAAGCTCGAGAGCCAGGTTCAGGCAGAAGACTTTGTGATCTGTTTATGGTTAAACCATCCAAGAAGGACTATCCTGATTATTATAAAATCATCTTAGAGCCAATGGACTTGAAAATAATTGAGCATAACATCCGCAATGACAAATATGCAGGTGAAGAGGGAATGATGGAAGACATGAAACTCATGTTCCGCAATGCCAGGCACTACAATGAGGAGGGTTCCCAGGTAATGAGGGATCCTAGAGTGGACACATTTTTCTGGTAGACTAATGCATTATCAAAGATCAGATCTAGTCTTTCTCTCTCTCTCTCTCTCTGTGTGTGTGTGTGTGACACCTACCTGAGTGTGTGGGTACACATGCCCATACATGTGCGTGTATGGGGAAGCCAGAGGAGAGCATCAGGTGTCTTCCTCAATCACTCTGTCTTTATTACTGACTAGAAGCTTGCCATTTCAGCTAGACTGACTGCCCAGCATGCCCTCAGGATCTGCCTGACTCTGTCCCCCAGTACTGGGATTATAGGCACATGCAGCCACACCTAGTTTTTTTGGTGGGTGCTGGGGGACTTAAGCTCAGGTCTTCATGCCTACAGAGCAAGTACCCTTACCCAATGAGCTATCAGCCCTTTGGAGCTTTTCTATAGACAAGACTTAACTGTGAAGTCCTGACTGGCCTGGAACTCACTATATAGACAAGGCTGACCTCAAACTTACAGAGATCCACCTGTCTCTTGAGTGCTGAGATTAAAGCATGTGCCACCACACCCAGACCCATTTTTGGCCTTTTGAGTAAAGGTATCACATTGTCAGACTGGCTTTGAACTTGTGATCCTTGTCCCTTTGCCTCTTCTTGTTGACATGCACTACCACAACTAGCCAGCTCTACTTGACTCAATGTTTAGTGACTATTTTAATATATTGTCTCTTAGTTGCTTAAAATGGGAGACGGTACATTATTGCACTTTGTAGTCTGATATCCTCAATTTAAATCCTGCTCTGTGCTGGGGAGATGGTTTGGTCTGAAATGCTTGCTATCCAATCATGAGTTCAGATCACTAGCACCTATGTAAAAAGCCAGGTATGGCAGCACACATAATCCCAGCTCTGGGGAATCATGACAGGAGAATCCTTAGGGCTTAGCCAGTCTGACCAAATTGATGAGTTTCAGGTTCAGTGAGAGACCTTGTCTCAAAAATATAAAACGGAGATGTGATTGAGGAAAACATCCTACCTCAGCCTCTGGCTTCATCTCTCTCTCTCTCTCTCTCTCTCTCTCTCTCTCTTTCTCTCTCTCTCTCTCCCTCTCCCCCCTCTCTCCCCCTCTCTCCCTCTCTCTCCTTTCTCTCTCTTTCTCTCATATATAGTGAGTACTAGGCCAGCCAGGGCTACATAAATGAGACTGTCTCAAAAAAACCAAAATAATGATGATGGTGGTGGTGATGATAATAAAAATAAGTAAAATTAAAAATCAATCCTGCTTTGCTAGTCTCTGTGTAATTAATTTATCCTTCCTGAGCCTTGTTTTCGTTATGTATAATTGAGGAATTATCACTCTGGGTTTATTGTAGAATATAAAAGAGATACTGAGTATTTTTTAAAATACTTATATACTGAATATGTACTCCAATAAAAGTGAGGAACATTAAAGTATTTTATCTTTTAAGTTTATTTTTTAAAGATTTTTTTAAAGCTCTAAATATGTTATTTAAAACATTAAATATGTGAATGTGAGTGCAGGTGCTCTCAGAGTCCAGAAGAAGGTATTGGATTCCCTGGAGCTGCAATTTATAGGCAGTTCTGAGCCACCTGACATGGGTGTTGGGCACCAAGTCCAAGTCCTCTGAAAGAGCAATATACACTCTTAACTGTTGAGCTATCTCTCCAGCCCCTTTATCTTCTTTTTTCTTGGTGGTTGTGCTGGGGATCAAGCTGAGGGTTTTGCGTGCTAGCACATGCTTTAGCACATGCTCTGCCACTCATCTATAGCTTCAGCCCACAGTATTTAATTATCAATACAGTTAAGGCACAGTCTTTCTGTTTTGATACATTTTCGGTTTCATTTTACCCATTTTAAATCTTCCAGAATTAAAATGACATGTTCAAATCATTTTCTTCCTTCTGCTGTTATATTTGAAATAATGTATACATTGAGAATACTTGTAGATTGAAGAAATGGACCTTTATGTAATAGAGATTCATACTGCCCTCGGTATCCCTGGCTATTAGACCACCTAACTATACTGCTAGAAATAAAACGA